GCGGGCGGTGGTCCGTTGGGAGGCGGCGGTGGTGGCGGTGGAGGTGGCGCTGGCTGCGCTGGCTGCAGCTGCTGGGGGGGACCCTGACCCTGCTGCTGCAGGTTGTTGCCGTTGTTCATCACTCTGGCGTGTCTAGGACAAAAATTCGATCAAGTCCCAAACGAAAACTCTTTTCTCTCGCTGCTGCTTTGCTTCACTGCCTTTGCGGGCGATGCAACGTTTTTCCCTTCGAGGTCCTCGGCTTCCCAAGGATCCCAAAAGCTTCTGCCAACCTCTCTCTCTTCTCTGTATCCTGTACATAGCTATACCCCCGTGTACCCTTTTTTGTCTCTCGCCGCTCTTTCACGAAATTTCCGGTACGCTTCCACAAACCACGGATTCACGGTTATACCGAATCCTTCGTTTGGTCTTTCTCTCTGGCTCTGCTCAACCCTTTGTCCTTTTGGTTAGGACGCCCTCATGGCCTGATAACCTTGACAAATAACGTAGACTGCACGTCCAACATCGCCCCACACGCGTATCTTCAAAGATGGACCGTTGCCGTTCATCCGGCATTTCCCCAATAACCGCTACGCCGTTCTCATCTCACCCACACTACTTCGAAGTTACATTCGTGGAGGCAGCAGTATTTAGAACATAAGCCATGTTGATCAACACGCAACGAACCTGCGGTCTACTGCACAGCTGCACATCGGACAACATTACTCAAGGGAAACGACGCAGAAAGACCATGTTATGCGTCACGCATTGCTCCCGGATGGGGCCGGCAAATTCTATGAGGAGTGTGCTTGGTAATTCAGCCGACTTCGCGAACCAAGAGTGAATGCTTCTATGTCAACTTGCGAACATGCCAGTGTTACGTTGGAAATGCTGTAAATGCGACCTTTTGATCTTGGACAAGATTTGTGCGGAAGAGGTCTGCTTTCACTCTTAATAGTGTTTCGAGATCTGGCACACCCCAGAAATCCCACAATGTTGAAGTAACCAACAAAACACCATCTCGGCATATGGATCCTAAACAAATAGAGGTGCGCATGTCTTACTACGAGACTTCAAAGCATGCCAAACCAGAGTTAACCAACCATCGACCCACGTGAAGCTGGACACAACAAGCTCATTTGGGGGTTCGTGCCCACTGTAGGTGCACGGTATCGGCACGTGGTCAGGAGCGCGAGCACCGCACCTTCTTTGGTGCATTGATCGGCTTGATCGTACGTAGTCAACCTCCAGCAGCACGAAACACGCTTTTGGTTGGGTACTTCGGCCGAGAGCGGATGGCACCGGTTCTCACCTCTTGGTCACCAAGTCATGTCCAATCTTTCGAAATCGTTATCGGCGGCCCTCTGCCCTCCCCCGGTGGCGAGTGGGTTGGCCGTGGGTCGCTTCGATCAAGGTCTACGGTAGTTGCAACAGGTCCAAGAATGAATATATATATTTTGAACACTAAAACCAACCCGCAACACCGTGAGCGGCGGTTCTAGCTGTTGGTCGAAGCACCACGCAGCCAACCTACTGGAGAAGCTGCCGCGGATGACAAGAGTTGAGTTTTCGACCTCAACGCCTTGACGATTGCGAAAATCAAGAAGACAGAAATCAGCATAGGCGTCATCCGTCCCTCGGCTCAACGTGTAGACTATTCGTTCCTCCCATTGCGGGAGCAATTGAACGATATGATATGTTTCGACATGGTTCACGGAATGTGGGCTAAGCGTTGCTGTTTTTTTTCGCCCTGGGCCGGCGCTCGCCCCGCCGTCGTCAGCAGTTCAATTCTTCAGCCTGTGAAGCTGGGATCGACGCTTCTCAAGAGCGCGCCATGTTCACTTTTTATTGCGCTAGGGGTGTGGTTGTTTTGTTTGGACCGATTGTCCGATGTGTGTCGAACAACTTCAGACCGGCGGGGAAAAGTAGTCGTACCTCATGTTCGCAACATCTGTTCAATTTAGTAGTCTTTCCCCATTCGCACCGAATCGAAATCTTAATCGTCGCCGGAAGAAGCATGTTCGGGCAACTATGCTTGGGGGATAAACAATTTCAGCAATTTATTTTTGTCCTGAACATGAACATGATGTACATGGCAGTACGAAAAGCACATCGACATGTCACGAGTTGATCTCGAAAAGGGATCGGAAGTCTTGAACTTTGACACCGACGTCCGCTTGTTCAACTGACGGAAACTTTGTGTTATATGTACCTACTGTACGAGCGCAGCATCTCCCAGCGACCGAGTGCGAAGAAGCAGAAGACGGAAACCCCCCTACCGGCGTCAAAAACAAGATCGGAAAAGGCGAGGCAATCAACGGCGACAAGGAGATCGACGAAGACGAAATCGCCGAGGATCAACCGCCCACAATCTCCGACAGCGATATCGGTGATGGAGGCCCCCCAGCGGGAGCGCAGAAGAAGCAACAGGGGGGCAGCAGCAATAACCAGCGGGGGCCAATGGGCGTGGCTAGCGACGCCCAGCTCAGCTGCCCCCTGTGCTTCACCACGGTGTGCTTGGAGTGCCAGCGGCACGCCAAGTACTACAACCAGTTCCGTGCGGTCACGGGGATTAACGTCAACATCAACTACGACGTGTTCCTGACGCTCGATGACGTATCGGGAGGCGGCAGCAGGCGGAGAAGGGGGCGGCGCAAAGGCAACGGTACAACGGCAGCGGCCGCATCAGTAGCGCGAGATATTGGTGGTGGTGGTGGCTTGGACCGTCGCAATCAATCCGCGCAAGTTGATGGCGAGGATCGAGAGGAAGAGCAAGAAACGTTCCACCCTGTTTCCTGCGGGGAGTGCGACCACCGCGTAGGCGTTTACGACGTGGACGAAGTTTTCCATTTCTTTGGGGTTGTTGCCTCGGGGTAACAGCGCATTCCATGGGCTGGGCTGATATTGTGTTGGTATGAACAATCACACGAAGTGTCAGCGCCTGCAAGCTTGTTTCGCTAGAGCAGCATCAACTCGGTGTACCTACTGTAGGCTTCGACACCTGCCGCTGCGCTCGATTTATTTTTTTGCATCATTTCTGGCCCGAATGGGCTCCTCCGTTTGTACACTTTGCGATCAGGCCTGCCGACGTCGCTATTCCTTTTCACGATTGACGTATTTTCTATCATGCTTCGAAAGATGCCACGCAACCGTAGCAACAGTTTGAGGTACCATCTAGATCCATTGGTTTGCGAGTAGCACAGGTATATAGGCTGGCAGCAACACCCACGAGGGAACAGGGTGTTGGTGTGGCGTTGTAATTGTCCTTTCAGAAAGCGTTTGATGTAGGGGTTGCATCATGCGCATGTCATCCCCGGCCTGGGGCACGATAGGATCTCCAAGTTAATCAAAATGCGCTTAGGGATTGCGTGTACTCTGCTTCATGCTTCGACTATCCATGCCCTGTTGACCTAGAGTGGCATTGGGAACCAGTCAAGCTGCCGCAACTAAGCTGCCGCCTTGAATTTGTGGTCATTTGGCGTTCATAACCGCCGTGAAATTACCGCCCTGATGAGCGGTAAGTGAAATACCGCCGGCTTTCCGCCGTTTTTTGTTTTGCCACTTCCACCGAAGTCGTTACCGCTGAAAAGCACCCATACAGCCTACCGCCAAAAAAAATCTGCAATGGTGTTACCGAGAAAAGTACCACCCTATTTTGGTTTTACCACCTCCGCCAAAGTCGGCAGCGTAAAATAACGCAGTACCACCAATCGCCAATAAAGCACCGTCGTCAATGACGTTACCCCCGAAAGGATGTCCACCTAACAAATTTTTTCCGAGTACTCGCCTGAAAAAAATGCTGTTGTGAACTACTATAGCCTATCCCCCCTCTTCTCTCAACAAAGAAAGGCAAAGACACGATTCCCCGTGGTTATGGTCATAGGCTAACCTCGACGTTACGAACGATACAGGACTATTCCACGCACTCGCCAAAATGTGAAAATATGAACTCAAGTAAAATGCCTAACAAACAAGTTAAATAGAATCCAGGAAGAACAGAGGGGCAGAGCAAAACAAAATTCAGAAAAGCACAGAGCTCATCGTTTAGAGAGAACCGAAAACCCCTGAAGCGGGGCTCTTAAACCTACTACTCTGTTTCCCCCTGAGCGAGAAGTATTCCATGCCGATTTCCGTCTGGCGATATCAATATCCCTCCACGCTCTGGAGGTCTGAGAAGCGGGCTATAGACTAAGCTGGTAATGTATTGTATACACCAGGTAAGACGTTGGGCTCTGTCTCAGACAGCACCTCCACCCCATTACCCTTCATGTGGGACCCTTATCCTTGTCGCCAACCAGGCAAAAACACCCCGTGTATGCTCGCCCTTTTGTAAACATGGGGTAAGGGGGGTTGGTGGGCAATAATGTCGTCCCAATGAACAACTACGTTTCCGCTGTACACAGTCTACGTAATACTACTTGAGAAGGGAAAACATCCTTGCAGCACAAGCTGACCAATAGTATAAATGTACAGATAGAGTCGACGATGTTGTTTCGAGCGCTACCAAGCGGATCAGGCACACTGATGCTGCCGCTAGTTCACCCAGTCCACGGCAATGGACGACCGCACAGTCAAGAACATGAGGGCCCGAAATTGGGGAAAACACACACTGTCATTTTCGGGCGCCGGACATATTTAACATTTACAGCGACCAATGAATTTTCATTGGTTGGCCGGATAGCGCGGTCGATGCTAACAATCAAACACGCATGCGCACGTGCACAAAATATACGGCCGCCTCGGGAATGGTGAATCCTCCTCGAAGAAAACGCGCGATACGTTTGTTCACAACAGCACTAAGACACGCAGAAATTCGCGGGAGTTAAGCCTGGCACCGTCCGAAGCCCGCTATCTTTCCTCCCGTCCCTCTTCGAGAAAGGGGCGACGGGAGGGAGAGAACGATAAAAAAGCTAGACTAAACAGACAGGCACACACAAGTAGACAGGCAACAACACCACACACAAACATGTCGGCACTGCAAGAGGAAACAGCGGTTGCAGCACCTGTCGCGTGCATCACGGGGGTCAAGAAGTTGTGTGGGCGAGCTCGAACGAAGTAGAGCCAGCAGCGTGAGTGTGAACCTGCACTTTGCACCCCCTATCCATTTTCTGTTGAAGAATCAGGAATTAACCCGTCACGCGGGTTCCCGAAACTCCCTACAATGCCCCTCCGTCTCCAACAGCGTGAAGCGTAGTTGGAAGGTATCCTGAATGATCCGAGCAAACGGCGAAAAAGAAAAACGGCAGATAAGTTGGTGTCTCCCGCTCAAGGTGCGAAGTTGGAGGCTGATTTACAAATTCAGAGAGACAAGTGGTATTGTATGAATTCAGAGCCGCAAACTACCGCAGGCGACTCTGAACAGATGTACGATGACATTGATCCTCCGGACTTCTTTTGCCCGCCCTCCACGCATTGGACTGAAAGGTGCCGAGAGCGACAATCAGAGGGAGAGCGCGTGCTGGCGAGCACCCCCCGGGTAGGGACAGTCTGCAACAACAACAGTCAAGCATCGCCATAGTCTGTTCTTTAAACTGTGCTCGACGGCACCACCAAAAAGGAACTGCGGTTCGACTCTAGGCGCTGTTTTTTGCTTGGTTGAGGGCGCCAAGTACTTTCTGCGTGTAAGCCGGTGGCCGAGAAGTAGCGGTCATGATGTGGCTGAGTGAAACCCCTCATCCATGGCGAACGGCAGCTGTGCTCATATGGATCTTTGGAACGCATGGCAACGTTTGGGGAGTACAGTTGGGGTCCCGGTTTAGCGGTTCCCTGTTCAGAAAAGTACAATTCCGCGCATGACGGCTATCACAACAATCTCTTGGTACCACTGCACCTCTTCAGCCGTTGTAAGGCCGCAAAATCAACCGATCGTGGTAGTTGGAGCTGTTTTTAGCTAGCAATAGCGGTTAGGTACCCATTGTTTGTGGGGCTGTCGTCGCATGGTTGCGCGCTAGAAGAGTGTGCCCTGTGCTTTTTCATGAACAGAGCTCTACTCTTCAATATGTGCGATGTTTTCGTGCTTCCTTCGGATGGAATTGTTTACCGTGCATCTACCGTGCGATTTAGCGTGTCTTGCTTTTGACGCCCATCGTCTAGTAGAGGTGGCGTCACGCAAAATGCTTACACACCTACACCAAAAAAACGTGCGCACAAACCGCAGGTTGCATAAGATACCGCACCCATGTGATAGCATTATTTGGGTACCAAAGTTATCACGCAGGTGTGGTATTCTGCAGGGGGTGTTGTATCATATTTCACCCGTGTGATAAAGTGCACTCACAGAACCCCGCCTACAGGGGGCGTGATAACAATCGTGTGTCATAACATCGCCCGTGTGACGAAGCGCACTCACATGGGCCAGTCTACAGGGGTGTGACAATGATGGGGTGTGATTACGTCGCCCTTTTAATTCAGTGCGCTCAAAACAGGGACCACGCATGCATACAGGGAATGATGGACGGGATTTGAAAAACGGTTTAGCGTAGCTTCTGCTATGCGGGCCTCAGCAGTACATGCGGTGTCGTGCACTGCTGCGGAGAGAGTCGTCTCAACCGGGCCACACGCTCCCCCGCGGCGGGTTGAACAAAGGACGTATGGAGCGCGGAACGCGGAACCGCCGCTAGAGCCTGACCCACAGCAGCCTGAGCCGCGGGGTTTTCAGCAGGGTTGTTTACTGCACTCTCCTCCACGAAATAGTCGGCTTCCATGGCGTTTGCGCGCAGGATACTTTGCTTATGTGCTTGTGATCACGTGCTATCATACCATGTATAGGCGGGGGCTTCGTCGATTAATATGCGGCTCAACCTTAGAGGGCGTGGTATCTAATGTCACCTTGTGATAAAATGACGTTGTTTTCGGGGCTCAACGTATCAGGACATGGGTGTGGTATTGTGTACCTTTTTGAAGGGGGTGTGGAATCTTATGAAAGTGTGATATCTTCGGCAACCTACGGTATACCGCGCCATACACACTGAGTGTACTCTCACTCACTGCTGTAGCTAAATACACACCAATCAGAGAGGGAGTCTTGAGGGCTGGTGTTCGTGTACAACAGTATTCGGAAGACGATGACGCCCGACCGTATCGAGATGGTTGTTCGATAGTGAGTTGCGGAAACTGTTCGCAGCTCAATCTGTTGGAAAGGCTAAAGCTCCACCTGTCTAAGCTGCTCTGTCCAAGCTGCTCCTGCGGGAGAGCAACAGTGGTTTTCGAGGTCGAATCTGACTGACTGAGAGTATCAGGGATACATTTAGGGCGAAGGGTCTCGTGTAACGGTGAGTTAGTTGATAGACCCGGTGCTCCCAGCACTACAGACTGTACTAACAAACCCCGAAAAGACACGTGAGGATTCAACGGCGGTTGTTGTACGTGTTGGAGGAACGTATGGGTCGAGGAGGCATCGATTTGGACAGCGCTGATATATTGATAAATTGGAAGCTCTGTTCGGTGTATTCTCTGACGGTGCACCGTCTTCAAGGCCACGGTCTGCCGCGGTTTATGCTACGGAGCAACAACTAAAACGCACCCCTCCGCTCAGTGATGTCGTAAGAAACAATCCGCCGAGAAGTTCTACTCCGTGAGTGCGCGAGTCAAAATGTGTGTGTATTTGTGCAGTAGTGGCACTCACAAAGAAGCTAGAGTGAGCGCCTGCCTTCCTCCAAAGTATCGCTCCGCCCAATTTCCATAGGCTCCATAGCACGACCCACCCGTGCCTCGCGTCTTGTGGCTCCCCTCGCAGTTCTTCGCACCATACCAGCGCTAATAACATAATCGGTCGTCCGTTGGCCAGTGCCAGCAAGGCAAACCTCGACCACAGACCTGTTCGCAGCCGCCACCGACAAATGAGCAGCGACCATCTCAGCCTTCAAATCTGCCACGGCTTTAATCTCATCACTTAAACGAGCCCTGGCGGCAGCCAGAGCCTCAGTCTGAACACGTTGGTCGCTGGGCTCTGAAGCAGGTCCCATTGCAGCCCGGACCAGGGCCCCAGCCTCAGTCATCCTTGCCACTGCCCGGGTGATAGATTCGGCGTTGACGTTTCGCCGTGTCTCGGCTTGTTGCTTCGCCTCAATAGCAGCCTCCATACGACCCCTGAGTTCAGGGTTTTGCATGCTATCCCTGAATTCTAAGGTCGCTTCCATCCTGGCAATGAAATCCCCGTAAGTCTCGCCCTGGTCGCCATCCCTGCAGTAAAGACAATACCTCAACATCAGGACAAGGGCCGTGCCCCCCAACGACGCCAGCTTGAAAAAATCGCCCCAAAAACACATGGTCGGTGACATGTTGGCGTCGCACAACATTCTTTCAAGACCGGCTGCCGTTGGAGTACCTCCCTCTCTCTCCCTCTCTCTACACTTTCTTATAGGGTTCGGGGTTTGGCCGATGGGTTCCACCTTCCTGTGAACCCCTGAACGCCGGACGCCGAACAAACCGATCACAGAACAACAAACAACGCACTTTCTGGACCTTTTGCGGACTGTATGTCACATCCAATCAGCACAGCGCAACGGTGAGGTGGGTGGTATCTATTCCGCGGAACCCCTCAGCTCGCGCGTTGTGGTCGTGGGCTGCTTCGCTCGTCGTTGCGTGTGTTGCTTGTGACGCTGTTGCACGTCATACAGCCCTGTCCGAAGTCTTTGAGCAAGAGAGGAGGAGAGAAATCTCTACAGAGATGAGCCTTTTGTGCCGAACCACACTGCTTGGAGCTGCTCACCGTACAGCAAGGAATTGTGTACGGCAGAGAATTGGTGAGCCGCAGGACTGCTGTACACAGCAAACCGGGGTGCTGCTGTTACGTATTGCATAGAGACGGCGCTGCGTCTGTCTATGGGTGGCGTTGCTATGCAGCTCTCGTCAACATTGCCAAAGCTTGTTGCTGGCGACTGACGAGGCGTTGTACAGAGCAAGCACTCCAGTGGCGTTGGTTTTGGCAGCAGCGTGCACGAGAGTGCGCATGTCAAGCCCAGAGTTCGTTCGCCCTCGGCAGTTGGGTCAAGCTTGTGTGCTCGTTGCTGTAGATCTCCTCGTTGTTCTTGCTTGTTCCACCGGACTCCAACTGACTGGGTCATGGACAAGTAAGAGGAGAAAGGAAAATGCCAGAGTGTTGAATCAACGTATCCGAATCGCACCCCGCTTGCCCACCGGCCAACGTTTTGCACTCTTTGTGAACAGAGTTGGCACTTGTTGGAAACCTTGAGCAACAGCAACACCAGCATCAACAGCGCCGGAGCATGGCGAGCAACCGCAGCGAACGCTTGACCGTGCACCAGAAGAAGAAAATGTCCAGAGCGCTGGTTCGGGCGCGTCGGCTGCGAAATGCCTCCATGGCGACTGTGCTCGGCGAGGAGGAGTGGAGCGGGTACGAGGCGACGATGCGGCAAGGGCTCAGAGAGCTAGACGACACCACCGAGGTTAAGCGGCGCGGAACGTACGCGAGCAAGCCTCTGGTGAGGCCCCGTCCTGGCATTTGCGTGTGGATGTAAAGTACCCACTCTAGTTTTACTTTCCATACGTAGCACGATGATGGGTGCAAAGCTACTGGGTGCCTAGGTCCCTGCTTACAAATCGCGGGGCAAGGCAAAGTGTCCACCGCCGTGTGCCGCACGCGTGGCCCTCGTGGCGATGGGATTTTCAGCCACCAGACACGAATTTCCAATGTGTCAAGGTGGAACACAAAGTGGACATGAGAGTATAGCATACGCATCCCCATTCTCGCAAAGACCGACTATGTTGCTATTGGCATTAGACCCTCGACATGTGGGGATCCCCGCGATTAGGAGAACCGGGATAGCACGTACCAGGGCATGGATACAGCAGGAACGTGGCCACCGAAAGTCGTGCCCCCTTCCTCGTTGTGGTCCGCTGTTTATGGAGGCCGGCGCTTATAAAGCACATTCTTCCCTACCGCCTCCCTCCTATGCTCCGGTCCTTCCCCGAAAGGTATCGGCTGCCCCGCAGGCCGACAAGAACGACGATGGCAGACTATTGTCGGAGCGGGACGCGTGGGCGGAGAGGATGGAGGGCGTATGGAACGAAATCTTGCAAGCCGATGCAAAAGGCACCAGGCCACGCATAACGCTTCCCGGCTTTCCCATACACGTGAGACCAAATAAAGAGCAGGAAGCGCTACAGGAATCACTCCGCGCTTCGAAGCACATTTTATTTTGCTAAGGGTTGGATCATTGGGCCGCTGTTTTGAGAATATGCTTGCATCATACCATAGAGAAAACCTATGTTTCAGTGCCAGGATGCTGACTCCGGTTCACATGGAGGAGAGCGACAAACTCCGCTGTCTTCGTTGGTTACACATGCCCGCCTACCCTCCTTGCACCCGACACGATTCGTTACGTTGCTGATTGGGTGCCGCTCTTCTTGATGAATTAGGTGGTGATGGTCAAAATCGCCAGGGACTACGGTCACCACAAGATTTTCTGGGAGCTGTCGGACGTGGATACACGTCCGCCGAACTCTGTCCTACGCCAGCTTTACGAGGTATACAGTACACGCCCTTTGAATGAAGTGTTGGTCGGGCATTGTCGACATCGATTATATTATAACGTCGTGCTCGTCGCTCCCCCCACTAACCCCGTATGTACCCAGATTGAACCCGTGCTGTTTTTTTTTGTGCCCACCTCGGTGATTTCCAAACTTGGCGTGTTCGGTGAGACTAGGCTTGGGGCGGGTTACTTTGCCCATCATGGACAGCGTGAAGGCCGTCCATGTCTCCTGTTCCAAGCGTCTCACTAAATTTGTATTGGTTAGAGATGTTTGTTAGTGCCACAGCTCATTGTTGTTTGTCAGTTTGTCACTTTTTCCAAGGTCATGCGTTGTTCAAATAATCTCCCTGTCGCGGGCACCTACTCACCCCAGGCTCGAAAGCAAGGGTTCAACGCCCGTGCGGTGGTGGTGAAGAGCACGGCGGAGAGGCTACGGAAGTACGAGGGGTACCTCCGAGCAAACCTGGCGAGAAGGGTGCCGATGAGAGTGAGGACGCGTTGTTAGTGTTGTGACGCTGTTGTTGTTGCTGCTGTGTGCTGCAACTGTCTTATGTTGCTACGCCTGTCGTACTTCCCGATTTTGCTATTATTGTGTGATAAGTCGGAGCGGGTGGTCTATTCATCACGTGGGGGAGTGAACACTTACCCCAGCCAGCTTGCTTGGTTCACCCGCTATCCACAAAGTATTTGCGGACGAGCGGTGACCACATGCCTGCTAGGTAGGTCCAGCGTGGTATGGCTGTCGCATTGCATTGCCGTTTGTTAATATGTAGAGCGTGGGCTTGATGTTGTGTTGCAACTTATTTTCCCGCCGCTCCCCGTCGCCATCTTGTTCCCTCCGTCCCTGCTACTGCACTTCTGTTCTTGGTGTTTTGTGTGCCCCTTGTCCCCGTGCCTTATTTCTCCTACCCGTGCTCTGTCCGTACTCAACCGTGTCGTGTGTGCCATTTTCATATCTTCGTACGGCCGTTTCCGACCTACAGAGAGTGCCTGAAGTGCGATGGCAACACGTCTCCGAGATGCCCATGTCGCTCCAGATCGAGTTATGAAAAACCGAGACCCTTCTGGCCGCAGGGACCCCGCTCTTTGCACCATGCATCGTAGTGCACAGGAGTTTGCATACGGGCAGCTTTCTTGGCTTGCGCGTTGGAGGATTATTCGTGGCTGAATTTCAAGCTTGTAGCTCTCGCGCCGAGATCGGCGCGCCTCACCGGGGTATCCGTATGACGATACCGTTGGAGGGAAGCTTACGTAAAGCGTCCGAAAGAGTGGAATTTCGCCGCTCGATCCGCGAAACGGATAAATTGTGCTGTTCACGAACCAAGTCGTAAGAACGACGTTGGCGATCAGCAGCAAGATCGCAATACTCAATTTGATGCGATTCAAGTTTGGTGGCCGCGAGCATAGGGATGCTCGAGGGCAGTCATCGGCAAACGCGGCAATCAGTTCATGTGCACGTCGTTGGGCGCTAAACGAGTAGCGGCGCTATCCGAATTGCTGTAGGCGAACTCGACGTGCGGCAGATGAGTGTTCCAATCTGCCTCTCGTTGCCGATCATAGGTAACTTTTGAGCTAAAGTGTGATTGACACGCTCCACACCCCATTGCCATTAGGGTGGTACAAGCTAGTGGCCACTTTGCGAATAGCAAGACCGGCGTACACAGCCTGCGACAGTTTAGTTTAGATCTGGGAGCCTTTGTCAGCCTGGAGACTCAAATGTGCAACCCCACAAAGGGATATGCCGGTTGTCAAGGATGTTAGCGGTGCCTTCGGCGGTAAATTCTGCAGCCGTAACCGCGCACATGTCAGCATGGCGGCTGAAACGGTCGGTGAACATGTGTATGGGTGTCAACAGCAGGGGACCGAGGTAGTTGACACTCACCGACACACCAGGGCCCGAAGGCAACGGAAGGCACAAAGTAGGTCATGGAGAAGCCTGACGAGAATATTTGTGGCCTTGGCATCGCAAACAATGCCGCACCCACCACTTCGTGCAAACACTCATGTCTACCCACCAATGAAAACATTTCAGCATGCTAAGCGTGTGAGCTGCAACGAGGTGGTAGGACGCGTCAGCATGGCAGACGTGCATGATCTCAGGACGCATGAGCACGGTAACATAAATCCGGATGGATTCATCGTTGAGGAGGCGAGCAGCACGTCCGCCAGGACATGTAGATGTATCAGACGGGGGCGCTGTCGGCTTGCGAACAAGCAAGACCAAACCATCATCGTCAACGTGTAGTCGGCATTTGTTGGACAGGTCACGAATCTCCAACAGGGAAGGTCACCAGCGGACGGAACATGATCCATGAAATCCGAAGGGAGGACCGAAGGCCGACCTAGGAGGATGAAACGAATTGCTGCATCAGCATGCGAGAAACGTTCGACAGATGCCTGGAAGTCCAGGTCTGCCGAAGAATACAAGGCAGCCTCGATAAAAGAGGGGGGCCGACTCTTGATGCGTCCACTGCAACCCTTCGGAAGGTAGAGCAGTGGATGCCAAAGGCGAATTGGCGCGAGCGGCCGAAAGCAAACTCGGTGGGGACTCGGAAGAGTCGGGGGGTTGCAGACGATCGCAGATCAGGAGCAACCGAAGGTGCAGTATGCGTCGGAGACGCAGGATCAAATCCAAGAGCCAGAGGCGCGGAGAGATTTGGGGATAAACCGCCAGTGCAAGTGTAGTCGAAACTTGACAAAACTAGTGTCGTCGACGGTGCCGAGGGCGCCGTCGGAGAACGATGAGACGGTCGAGGCGCAGCGGAAATTCGCGTGGAAGGCGGGTCATCGGAGAAAACATAAATCAGCAGGCCAGAGCGTCTTGCCTGCCACAACCCGCCTTGCGGCGACGAGTTTGCCTGGAAATCACCTGGGTAGGACCGAGGGTTCGATGTGGTTGTGGCAACTATCGGAACGGTCAACAGAGAGGCAACATCTGATGCAGAGAGCCCGACCAAACGATCGGAGGCCGATTGCATGTTGTCGGAGAAGACGAAACGCCGAGCATCGTGGGAGGCCAGGGAGCGATGTTCCAGACCCCAGACGAAGGCAAAAGGCCTGACGGTGGGAAAACGCGGACCATGACGGCTAAAACGGCGAAATCGGCCGAAGACGGGGCAAGCCCACCCAAGACCGAACTTGGGGGAAATCGGGACGAACCTACCAAAGCCAACACCCACGACCCAATGGCCGGAAGGTGTAAGGCCACAAGAACGAATGAAAAACACGGTTTCCTCATCCTCAGCCGGTGTCAAGCTACTGCGATCAGATCGATCACATTCGGCCACCGATAGGAAGACGAGAGAGGAAGTCGGCGTCGCCTTTCGCGGATCCCTTGCGATACTCCAGAGTGTAGTTGTAAGCGGAAAGGAATTCAAGCGGATGTTGAACCCGAGCATGGTTCCCCCCCACCTTGGCAAAAAGCTCAAGAGATGTGTGGACGGCAATTACATGAAGTTTCGTACCCCACAACCAATCGCACGATGCTACCCGCCTCAAGATCGAGAGAGGAGTCCAATGACGTTCGGAGTCCAACTTAGCCCGGGTGATGAAGAAGATGGGACGAATGGAGCCATCCAGCTGTTTTGTTCGAGAGTTCAACCGAACCCACCGCGACTACATCATAGTTAAGGTGAAACGGTCGCGAGCCGTCCGAAACGGCATCCCAATCTGGATAAACCAAAACAGGAGGGTTAGCCAACTCAGACAACGGGACTCGAACGACATGCTCCTCAGAGGGGGTGAAGGGAACATTCCCCTGCTTCTTGAGAAGAGTGGTCAGAGGCCGAATGTGTTTTGTTTAGCCATGTTGGGGACGAACTTGTAACGGCGAATCAGCGCCTATGTGAGTGTGTGGGGCCGCGAGCTTCAGCGCAGCTCTTCCCTCACATGTCCTACTCGTCCCCATAGAATAGCCGATTTGGATGCCTGGGGTCACGTAGATGTACAGTAGGTCTAGCCATAAGCAAAGGTGCTTGAAGCGTTTCAAAATCGAACCGCACATTAGGGGTTCAAAAATCCTGCTTGTTGGTCACCGATCTCGATGGAAGCATCGATTGGAAAATCGCGGACCGCTAGTCTGCCGTGTATTACAAGGGCTACAATCTCAGTCGCTAACAGTGTACACAAGCGACCGCTGCGGACGGTTAATTTGCTATCGTAGTTGGTACTGAAGTTAGAATTTGAAAAACTAAGATATTCAGGCGTTTCCTGGATTGTTGAAGAGGAGCCACTGCGTACCCCAAGTCAGCTAGCTGCCCCCAAAAATGCAGCTGCCTCCCGGAGGTCCAATTCGCATGCTTTTGGAATGGTTTCGTATCTACAGTAGTATCACCGATGGCATTGCCGTGCTCCCATGGGCCCACTCCAGAAGGCAGCCTTGGGCACAAAAAAGAGCTACACATATAGTCTAACACTGTCTCGAAAGGGAGCCGCGTTTCATGGTACACGAAGAATCAAACCACAATTCTCCTTGTACTCAAATGGCTAAAGCACTGCATCTGACTGCACGTTCGCACAGTCAAGTGCCCTAGCATGATTTCAACACCTGTATCTTCCAAGTGCGTGTGGTGAGGACCACAACAGCAGCACACTGGGATCATTAAACAAGCGACGGCATCTGCACCAACAACTCAGCCTCTTTTCCTAGCGTAGATCGCCTTTTGGTCGAAATAGATTCAACATCTAAGCCGCAGTCTACATTACGTTGTTCCACAGCCCCATGGTGGCGGACCGCGTCGAACAGGAAGAACAATAATTCCTGCCATTTCTACGTTTCTGGTTTGTGAAAAACCTCGTCGCTCAACAACACAGATTGTGCCGATGGCGGCCACTCATCCCACATGGCCACCTTCAGAACAAGCGCCGAACGCGGCCACACAACTCCGTCGATTGACTGGTTGAATCTCCAACCGAACGCTAGGTGCTGTAGGGATGAAGGCCATTCGATTCCATGGATTGGACAGTTGAAACTGAATCCGAACTTGAGCCGCTCCAGGGAAGGCGGCCACACGACTCCAGCGAGCGGCTGATTGAAGTTCATACTGAACTCTAGGTGCTCTAGCGACGAGGGCCATGTGACTCCGGCGACGGGTTGATTGAAGGATACGCCGAACCGGAGTTGCATCAGTGAGGTCGGCCACACAACCTTCACGAGCGGTTGGTTGAAATGACCACCGAACTGGAGGCACTCCAGAGCAGGCGGCCACGCGACTCCGGCGACAGGCTTGTTAAAACAATGTCCGAATTGGAGGTGTTGCAGTGTGGGTGGCCACTTCACTCCGACAATGGTGTGGTTGAACTCACCACCCAACTGGAGCCGGTGTAGCGAAGACGGCCACGTCACTCCGGTAATTGGTTGGTCGAAGGTATATCCCAGCTTTAACTCAAACAATGATGCCGGCCAGTCGACTACGATTGACTGGTTGAATTCATCCCCGAACTCGATCTGCAGCAGCGAGTTCGGCCACACGACGTCGGCCAGCGGTTGGTTGAAGTCACTACCGAACTGGAGGAGATCCAGAGCAGGCGGCCACACGACTCCGGCGACAGGCTTGTTGAAACAATGCCCGAATCGGAGGTGCTGCAGTGTGGGTGGCCACACGACCCCCAAGAGCGATTGGTTGAACTCACAACCGAATTGGAGCCGGTGTAGCGAAGACGGCCACGTGACTCCGGCAATTGGTTGGTCGAAAATAAATCCCAACTTTAACTCGTACAGTGATGCCGGCCAGTCGACTACGATTGACTGGTTGAATTCAAACCCGAACTCGATCTGCAGAAGCGAGTCCGGCCACACGACCTTCGCCAGTGGTTGATTGAAATTTTCACCGAACTGGAGGCGCAGCAGAGAGACTGGCCACGCGACTCCGGCGACACGCTTGTTGAAGCAATACCCGAATTGGAGGCGCTGCAGTGTGCGTGGCCACTTCACTCCGACAATGGTGTGGTTGAACTCATCTCCAAAGTCCAGGTGCTCAAGAGACGCCGGCAAGTCCAGGTCATCCGGCAGGCAGGCTGTCTCGGTCAGTCGCAGGTAACGCACACCAGTGAGGTCAACGTCACCCTGTCCGAACGCCTTCAGGGGCAGGCACCACACCAGACCGCCCGGAAGGATTCGTGGTACCCTTTTTGACTCCGGCACGACGCTTGACCCGCTCATCAGGTTGCCGGCCGTAGCCGGAGGCACTCCGGCCTCGTGCTCCTTCTTGCTGCCAGTCAGATACTCTGGTGGCATATAGCCTTCACCAACTAGTACCACCAACGTCGGCGCGCGTCGGCACGCCTCGTTTAGCGCCAATGACGAGCATTGAAGGTGCTTGGTGGACACAAAAAACTGGTGACTCACGATAGTGAGGACCGCCACCACAACACTGCAACAGACACGTCGGCATGGTGGCAAGCGAAGGGAGGAAATGAGACCGAGGGCCAATAGGACAAATGGATCCTTCTTCGTAAATCTTCTATTTGGCTCAAAACTAGATGGTGGATGGCAGTGAGGCTCTGTCGGCGGATCGTGAATTTGGTTGGCGAGCGTGCGTGGGAAGGAGTAGGTGGGTTGATAAGCTGCGTACCCTATCGCCCCCCCTGCGCGGCAGATATTTTCATGAAATGAAAGAAAGTACAAGTAGGCGGAAAGATATATGTCGGGAGGAGAGGGCGTGAGCAATGTAAAGGGGGTGGCGGAATTAGCGCGCCCGTTCTCTCCACCCACGCTCGGTTGAATTGAT